AAAGCACAGCAGTCCCCCAGCTCCCAGGGAAAACCTGCCTACTTCCGAGAGGAGGAGGACATGCACGGCTCGGCCCTCCCTCCCGAAACCCGGGAATGATGGCGGGTGGCGGCGAGGGGGGGGGGTTCCACTGGGGGCAAGGCAAGGGGCAGCTGTGGGGGCTCAGAGGAGGGGGGGCAGGGTGAAGGATTGGGGAGGGAAGACGGCAGTGCTAGTGGCAGGGACCTGGTGTCCCTGCACAGACCTTTTCCCCCCTGATCCCAGCCTGGGGAAGGCCCTGCTTTAATTGGGTTGGGTCATTCCAAAAATAAGGGGAGGCAGCGCCCAACATACCTCTTCCAGCTAAAAACCCATATTTGATTAATCTTTATTCTTTTCCTAAACAAAGCCAGGCAGTAGCGTCTCTGGGAGGAGGAGCAGAGAAGCAACATTTCAGGGAGGAGCTCATGGCTCCTTGTTCTTCTGAGCTTCCAACAGGCTCCGGCACAGCCGGAGTGAGCTGCAGGGGACCCGCTCCTATGCCTGCCCCATGCCTCTCTGTCCCAAGAAGGGAAGGCTGGCTGCAGAGTGCCAGGGAGATGCCCATGGGCCGGTCCCATGGGTCCCTTAGCTCCTCTTGGCTTCTCACTCGCAGGTCAGTGCGAGGATTTGCAGTTTTTCCATGGTCGCCCCATTGCTGAAACCAGCAGAGCCCAGACTTGGGCTCAGTCTAGAAGGAAATGGGGCACTTCTCGGCGCTGGGCTAACACTTGCTGACTGCCTGGGGGAGATCAACTCAAAACACGTTTTTCTCTCCCCTAAGCCTTCCCAAGTGCCAGCCCAGAGAGCCAAGGTGTTTTATGCAGCCACCTCTTCCCCTCTAAGGCTTCTCCCCATCTCTGAAATGCGGAGCTGGGGAGCAGGAGGGCTTCCTGGAGCAAAAATACTCTTTGTTAAGCCTTGGGCACCAGACACAGGGCAGAACCGGCTCCTGGGGATGTTGCTGGCAGCGTTTCCCTCGGGGGCCATAGATGCAACCCACCCAGGGCTCATGCAGATCCAGCCGTGGGTTGACCCAGACCCCAGGCTGCCTGGGTCTTCCCACGGGCCCTGGATCCAACCCACGCAGAACAAAACCACATCTCTGCTCCTCCTGCCTGCCCCACGCTCCAGAAACCGATGGCTCCTGGGATGAGCCTCCCCAGGGGTAGAGGAAAAGGGTGCCCCAGGTCGTTCGCAGCTGCTGTCCTCCCTTCCCACCGGCCCCCCCCAAGTCTTGCCTTTATTTATTGGCCCTGGTGGACAGCCCTTTTCCAGGGGCAGCCCCCCCCGTCTATGCCGAAGCCAACGCCAAGTGAAACCTGCACTAGGACGTGCGTGAATGACGTATCTTTGGGTTTGTTTGTCGTCTTTGTTTTGGGTTGTTTTGGGTTTTTTTTTAATATAAATATTTTGTTTTTGTATTTTTGTATATTTTAATCTTTAAGAAAAGAAAAAAAAAAAACAG